AAATATTATAATTATCTATTTAAAAAAATTTATAAATATCAATTAAATTAAAAATAAATTTAATTGCCTTAATAATTTTATTAATGTTCATAACTACACTCACATGTGAGTTGCAATTGAAATTTCTTTGGTACTTTATAAAAGTTTGAACTATTGCATGGTTAGTATTTTATTAAATTATACAATTTAAATTATTAAAGTTGGAGCATATTGATCTGAATGCTTCCTAATGCACTAAGTTTGTGGTTTATGAGAGGAAAGGACAATAATTTGATAATATACGGACATGACATTAACAATTTTCAAACCTTTGATTGGTAATTTTGACGTGAATCAATCGTGCACACATGGATGAATCACGCAACATCTTTAGCAAATGTTTTAGCAGTTAAGGACTTGAACATTTGATCATTATTTTTTTGATGAAATTTGAACGTTTATGTTGGAATTTTTTTTTTTCAAATTCTAAAATAGGTGAAGAAGAGGTTTAACAAAAGTGAGTTATCTCATATTATAATAGTAATAATTTTCATATCAAATTTGAAAATAAAATTTTGGTTAAATCCCCTATCCCTTTAATTTTATTGTTTAATTAAAACTATTTAGATAGTATTAGTTTTAAAACTATGGTTTACTTTTATAGAAATAAAATTAATTAGACATTTACTTTTATTTATTTTAAGACTAATCTTTTTTCAAGCAATTTTAAAGGCACATCACTTAGTTGATTTCATGTATTAAAAAAATTTTAATATTCTTAAGTGCTGACATGAAAACTTGAACTCTAAATGTGACCTAAATGATACTTGTATATTAGTGAATCCAATTATTTGACTTATTATATAATATACTCTTAATCTATACCATAGAATTATAAATTTCTTTCATTAAAAAAATTATAAATTAAAAAAAAATATTTGCAAAAGCGTCCACTTGTGGACAACATTCAAATGAGAAGAAAATGAATATGGCTAGTAAGGAAAGTGACGGTCAAATGCCAATACTAATCAAAGTGACCGAAAGTCCCCACTCCCCACGTCAAATGAACCGGAAGCACGGCAAACGCATTGCCTATTTTCAAACAAAAATGAAGCACGCCGAATGACGACTTTGAAGATCCACGCCAAATTTCAATACCAAGGAAGAACCAATTCACATTCCAATACTATTCAATGTATCCTCTAAAACCTTTGAGTAATACCATTCAATGCATTGCCTATTTTTGAATTCGACACCAGCTCATACCAAAGGAAACATACTATTATTTTACACCATGTAGAATTATTTCATCATAATAACCACCTGTGCTACCAGTTCTTTCTCACCTTTTTCCCAAATGGAGGATATGACAATTAATTTGTTGACTAATCTGTACACTGACAATTAATGCCCCATTGCTTTTCTCTATTTTTACGTACTGAGAAATGGTTTTAAGATAGTTTTTTATATTAGTTTTTTTATATAATTTAACATATTATTTAAATAATTATTTTTTTTATTTACATAAAATTCACAATATTAAATATATTTATATATTTAATAACATATAAAAATTATACCAAAAAATAAAATAAAAAAATTATAACCATAACACCGTCTTTTAGTGCAATCACGTATAAAAGTGATACTCCTTCATGACCGAATACCCTGGCTATAATTAAGGTTTAATTTGTTGCCACCAAGCCAGAATATTGTTGCCCTTCTTATTTCGCAACTTATGGAAGCTTTTACTTTTTCGTACGGTTTGTTGATGACCTTGCGGGCAAGTCGCATTAAAAATGTGAGCGTGTGCGTTAGTGAACTTAAATCCACTATGTGTGACCTCACCTCCATTTATCCTGTAAAAGACCAAAATTCCTCCCATGCTTTAACTTTACAGCATTTTCTTCTTTTAACCATTAACAATCTAAAATATATTGCTTCTCTGCTCCCTCTTTAAAACTTTTACTTTCTCACTTAATGTTTGTATAAAACTTTGTATTTGTTATTTTAGAGGTTCTTGCAATTTTTAAAAATTTTTATGGTTACCCTTTCTTTCATGATCTATATTATTAGGCTTAAAAGAAAATCCACCTTTTTCAACTTCTCTTTTCATTTTCTTGTAGTATTTAGGTACAACTAAAATTATATTTTAAGTTGCATTTTGCATTTTAGCTTTTTTCTTTCCCTATTTTTTAACTTTTTTTTATTTGTGTGTTGTTTATGTGTACCAACTACTACACCAAATTTTAGCAGGTACAACCATTACAATTGGTATTTGATTGGTATAATTGATATTTGATCTAGTACAGTATTTAAAATATAATATACTAATTTTATTTTTAGCACTTGTTTGGTATAACAGTTAAAATTTTGTAATAACGAGTAACATGTAACAAGTAACGAATAGTAAGTAGCAAGTGGCAAAAAGTGGGTAGTGAATAATAAATAATAGATGTGATTAATATAATTATTTAATTATATAATAGTTAGTGATTGTTATTTAAAATTAAATTATCGATAAAAACATGTTTAACAATAATTAAGTGTATTTTTCTCTTTTTATATTTATTATTATTAATATTATTAATTTTTATAAAATAATAACTAAATAAATAAATAAATTATAATAGTGTAACATAAATTAATTTTTATTTTTAATAAAGAAAAAATTATATTAGTTTT